TGCCTATATGTTATTTTTATTGCAATGCATTATAAAGTAGCCATGATTATATTTAGTTTTACACATGAACAAACTGAGGCTCAAAGGATTGGAGAGCAGATGAACAGTAGAGCTGAAATCAAAATCAAGGTGAACTTGACTCCCATGCTTGCATCTGTCTGCTATACCACACTGCTTTATCTTATCACCGTACATAGATAATTCATGAAACAGAAATTATGCGTGTCACCTTTCCCGCTTCTTTTGTTATTTATTGGAGGGGCACTGATGCTTTTCCAGTAATGTATGTTCCTGGTATTTTGTAGATAGGAACAAGCTCTGTACTTGTCAAGCTTTCAAAGCAAGTGAGGGCTCTGCCCATTGTGTTTCTGGTTTGACTGTGGCTACCCTTTTCTGTAGAGATAGAGTTGGTTATACATGTGGAGGAAAGAATGAAGGTAAAACATCTATTCTTTATGGCATGATATAATTTTAGATCTTAACTATTTTATTACTTAACCTTCTAATAGAGAAGCACTTCTGCCATTCTTGAGTTTATAATTAAATTTGGAATTTAACGCCTTCTTAGGACATGGCTTCAAATCTAGGGGAAAGTAAGAGGAAAATGTATTCTAAAACTCACAAGAGTTGCACATAAAGCAATCAATCCTACCAAATTTTAGTACTCACAGCCCAGAGAAAAGTCCAATGCAGTAATCTGAATGCTGGGTACCTATGAGTCAGTCAACCCATATCAATGTCATCCTATAAATCACCTATTACCCCTACAGGACGTAAAAGCAGCCAAACATTATATTTAGTAGATCCTAGTCTTGTAATTAAAAGACAAAAAGAGAAGCAGGGGACAAGGTGACTAGCTAGAAATATGACTCAGTAGGACATACAATCTCTACTTTAGGAATGTCACACCATGGGTATTTTGGGAGGAAAAAAGTGATTTGAATGACTATAAGGTCCCCAGCATTGGATGAAGTCATATTTATTTTAAGAAACAAGCATAAAATCAATGGTGTAGTATATTTTGCCAGAAAACAAAATTTAAAGAGAAGCTCCTTAAAGCTGCTAAAAAGGAATTTTCTGAAAGAATATATTTTCACTTGTGTTAATTTCAAAATAATATAACTCAAGTAATTTAATTGATCTTGACATTTTACTGATTGACACTTTATTGAGATGAACATTTTGATTTTTTGGGAGAGCCATTGATGGGTATCAGAGCATTATTTTACAGGTGTCTCAAATTTTTTACATAACAAGTTAATGTTTTATATTCAATTTCATATTGAAACCGCCATTGCAAAATTATAACTGAGACATTGAAACAGATCTGACCTAACCAACTGCATCTTGCTTCTAACCTCCAAATTGTCCTGTTCATTCCTGGGTGTAGCCTGAACTATCTTTGGGAGGAACTTAGTTTATAGTTTATAAAAACAGAAACGATAACAGGCCTTTCCCAAAACAAACCTCCTCCTTGCCTGGGAACTAGACTGCTTTTGTAGGACTAACAAATTAGCCACAAGATTAGAAATTATGGCTTAGGAGTCGTGCAGCTGGAGGCTACAAGATTCTGACGCTCCCTAAACCGCTCCTAAGATCAATGCTTGAGATATTTTGGAGACACTGCCATTGATGGATCAGCTGGCACCACCCAAATCATAAACTGACTCATCTGATCTTGTGGCGCCCACCCAAGAACTGACTCAGCACAAGAGGACAGCTTCAGTTCTCTATGGTTTCACCTCTGACCCAACCAGCCAGCACTCTCGACTCACTAGCTTTCCCTCACCCACCAAATTATCCTTAAATCTTCTGATGCCCAACTGCTTGGGGAGACTGATTTGAATAATAATAAAAAACTTCAGTCTCCCACACAGCTAGCTCTGCATGAATTACACTTTCTCTATTGCAATTCCCTTGTCTTGATAAATCAGCTGTGTCTAGGTAGCGGTCAGGGTGAACCCATTGGGCAGTTACAGTAATATGTGATTTCAATTAATATAGTTCATATTATACTGTATCATATTGTGATACAAATATATTGCTTTACTTTGTTAATTTTTAATTAAAGTCATTTAAAATACTTTTCATAGTGAAAATGTGTAATAAATGTTGATAAATCTTCTCATATTAGTAATATCTTCATAACAAATGTCACATTTGGAAACTACATGTGAGGAAATGATAGTTTAGATTTAGATTGAACCTTGTAGGGAAATTCATGTGCTTCAATGGAAAACTAAGTGCTTTGAGCACACCCTTCTGCGTTATCTGATTCTGATTCTGTGGGGACCCTTGGCATTGCCTTTGATCCATTTTACAACTGTGTAAGTTGTAGATAACTGATAGCAAGATGCAATAATTCTTTTCTATAGACATGCAAAATAATTCTGTTTGGTGGTTCAATTGACTTCCCTCCCTCCAGCGAAAAAAACCCAGATTTCTCTCTATTTGTAAATGCATTTCAACTTTCCTTTACTACACATAACCTTCTGCTCCTTTAACTTATTTTTAAAACTGATTGTAACAGTTTACTGTTTTCCACATTAATAATGAGTTTAAAACAATCTTTAACACGTATTCATTTTATATCTATATGAGACTCATGATTTTACCTGATTTTTGAAAATTATCCTTTAATAAATGACACTTAAATGTCATCCTTTTAAGAAACCAGAGTGGTATTTTTCTGTAGTTGTTACATATTGAATCATATTAATTGTTGCTTTTATTTTCTTATCTTCTGATATGGCTGCTCTTTCATCTGTCATAGTTTTAATTAAATATTGACAGGTGTGTGTTTTGTTTTCCCACCCTCATTGTAAGCTGTTTGATGGTTAATGCTTCCCTGTATTCCTTGCTGTGCCTAACATAGCATGTTACACATAGTATGTGATCAGCTTGATGATAACTACAAGTTGGATAAAATACAAATACTGGGTTTCCTATTTCATCTAGTCTCTGTACCTTTTCTGTGGTCTTTTGCAAGTGTTACAAGACTAGTGGCTTCATATTGGAGATTGTGAACATCCTAAGAGTCCTATACTTCAAGTATGAAAAGGGCAATTGGGTGTTTCCCAATGATTTCTTAATTTTACTTTTTACTATTTTTATGTTATTTTTATATGACAATAGTAGTGTGTGAAAAAATAAATGTAGCCTACATTTTAAACAGATTTCAGTCTTTGCAGATGTTTGCTTTATGGTTATAAATTACTTGGAAGAGTCTCAGCTCTAGAGTTTCTTTCACCCAAGGCCTGAGTGTCTGGCAAACTTTATCCCAAGGATGTATTTGGAGAAGGAGTGCTCTCTCTTAACACATGAACCAATGATATATACTTTCTAGAAATGTAAGTGGATTGGTAGTTTGTATGTTTTTATCCCTTGATTGATTACTTTAACATACATTTTCATATTTGATTTTCACAAAAATCTTATAAAAGACGTATCTGCTATTTCTCCATTTTACAGCTGAGTAAACTAAGGTTTTATCAAGTTAAGTGACTAGAGCTTTGAACCCAGGCCTTCTCCCATACTAACTCATTCTCGTTTCATTAAAGTAAGCTATTCTCTACATCTTGAGAAGGTCTTATCCTTCAAAGCATCACCTCATGGTATAGCCTTTCCAGTATGCTCTGTGTCTATCTGTACCATTTTCTAAATTTTACCCAGAGTGTTTCCTAGAAAATTATAAGGATAAAAATAAAGTTGTTAGATCACAAATACATATATCTTTGTTCACATAAATGAAGGCCTAAATAAAATTTGATATTGAATTTCTCTTCATCTGTTTTTCTCTGAATCGGAAACTTAACTTCATGGCAATTTCATGTTGAGCAACTCCAATCAGATTACTTGCTTTCCAAGGCCTGTCCTGATTACTGTTAGTACAGTGATAGGGAATCCTGGATCTTCCAAAAAAAAAGTAGGAGATCAAACGTTAGTCTTCAATAGTTATTCTCAAATTTTGTTGCACATTAGAATTCAGACCTTTAGGATCTGAGCCTCCACATATATTTTGGGGGATGCTGATCTAAGGTATTTAATTTAGGGAAGATCTAAGGGCCTGAGAACCAGAGTCCACCAGAGCCAGAGAACTGTTAGAGTTTGTTGGATGAGGTCACAGTTTTCCTAGAAAGCACTCATCTGATGTTTTAAAATACTATTTATTTTAGAGGAGTTTTAGATTCATAGCAAAATTAAGAGGAAGGTACAGCTCATCTGATTTTAATGTGCTCGAATCTGTCCCCCTGTCTCTTCTGAGGTGACTAGAGCAGACCAGACATAAAGGTAATCCCAGACCGTTCTCCCTAGCTCCCTAGAAACTTATGTTCTTGAATGGATCTGCAGAGACTTACTTATGAATCATTGGTACAACACAGCGTTCACAGAACCTGAGAATTAACTACTGACGGGACCTATAAGATGTTTTTTGCTAAAATGCTGATGAAACCGACCCAATTGTCCCACAGAACTGATGTTTATGGGTTTTTTTAAATAAACATAGAAATTGACCTTCCTAGTCATGAAACTAAAGAAAGTGACATTTCTCTCTTACCTGAGTTCGTTTCTTAGGAAACCAACCCTCAGGCCTCCCAGATAGTATCAAGGAGCTAAAACTCACGAGATCATTGAGATCACCGAGATCACCACATCTAGACAATGGGATGCCAGACCCCTCACCCATCATGGTGGCCTAACTGACCACCTGTGTCTTGTTGACCAACTCCTCTTGCTTATCCTTCCCCGATTCCTATTTTCTCAGATATAGTCACATTTCTTCTCTACTACATAATCCCCAGATTTTAGTCCATCAGGGAGGTGGATTTGAGACTAATCTCTCATCAACTAGGCTGCAGCACCTGATTAAAGCCTTCTTACCTGTCAATACTTGTGTCTCAGTGATTGGCTTTTTGTGTGGTGAGTAGCAGACCTAGTCAGAAACTCTGGCATTTCGGAGATACTAATTATGAAAATAAATTATGATTTAGAAGAACAAGAAAGTTAAACAAATGTTTAATAGGAGAATACTAAAACTGCAACATTCTATTGAGAGATATCAAAGAAGACGAATAAATGGAGAGTGAACTCTACTTCAGAAAGAAAAGATGAAAAATTTTAAAAGTGTTTTGCCACTTCCCTGCATGACACCTTTCAATGGATTATGCTCACATTAAAAAAGAAATTCCAAAGCCCCTGCCGTTTATCCAAAGATGCTTCATAGTATGACCTCTGATCTCTCCCTAACTTGTCATCTTCTCTGTTTTCAAAGAAACAGAGAACATCATCCAGCTTAGTGTTCTCCTTTCCTCTTCTCTTTGACAATCATGTGACTTTCTTCCTTGCTTCCTTCAGGTGTCTGGTTGTAACCTTTTGAAAGTTTTTTCCTGCATGCTGTACAAACAAAAGTAATCCACATTATTGCAGTAGAGAAAGAGTTTAATCGACAGGAGGCTGGCCATGCCGTGTGGGAGACAGAGTTATTACTCAAATCAATCTCCCCCAGGATTCAGAGACTGGAGTTTTTGGAGGATAATTTGACTGGTAGCGAAACTGCCTTTGCAAAATTATGAGTGAGACAGTGAAAGAGATCTAACTTAACTGACTTCATCTTGTGTCTAACCTCCAAGCTGTCTTTGTTCATTCCCGCGCATAGGCTGAACTAACTTTGGGAGCAACTTAGTTTATACTTTAAACAAAGATGGTAACAGCCTTTTCCCAAAGCAGACTTTCTTCTTGCTTGAGGACTAGACCAACATTAGTCACAGGATTAGAAATTATGGTTTAGGAGTCATGCAGCTGGAGGCTACAAGATTCTGACCCTCCATAAACTGCTCCTAAGATTAGTGCTTGAGATATTTTGCATACCCTGCCCTTGATGGATCATCTGGCATCACCCAGATCGATAAACTGACTCATCTTGTGGCCCCCACCCAAGAACTGACTCAGCACAAGCGACAGCTTCAATTTCCTATGGTTCCACCTCTGACCCAACCAGCCAGCAGTCTCAACTCACTGGTCTTCCTTCACCCACCAAATTATCCTTAAAAACTCTGATGCCTGAATGCTCAGGGAGACCGATTTGAGTAATAATAAAACTCCCGTCTCCCACACAGCTGGCTCTGTGTGAATTACTCTTTCTCTATTGCAATTCCCCTGTCTTGATGAGTTGGCTTTGTCTAGGCAGCAGGCAAGGTGAACTCCTTGGGTGGTTACAGTAGGGGGCCATGGGGTGGGGAGAATTGACTGGTTGAGTTGGAGATTAAATCATAGGAAGCTGAAGCAGTCTTTTTGCATTGAGTCAATTCTTAGATGAGGGTCACATGACCAGATGAGCCATTTTATTGAACTGTGTGGCACCAGTTGATCCATCTAGTGCAGGGTCTGGAAAATATCTCCAGCGTCCCTCTTAGGTTTTATGGTAGTGATGTTATCCTGAGGAGCAACTGGAAGGTTTAGAACCTTGTGGCCTCTAGCTGCATGACTAGGCATAATTTCTAATCTTGTGATTACATTGTGACTACAAACGCAGTGTGGTCCCCAGGCAAGAAGAGAGTTTATTTCAGGAAAAGGCTGTTACCTTTCTTTCAAAGCTAAACTATAAACTAACTTCCTCCCAAAGTCCTATGCCCTGGAATGAACAAGGACAGCTTGGAGGTGAGAAGCAAGATGGAGTTGGTTAGGTCAAATCATTTTCACTGTCATAATTTTCTGTTATAATTTTTGCAAAGACAGTTTCATGATTCGGTATTGATATAAGAAGCCTTTCCAATAATCTTATATACAATATTATCCCATCACTCTTTGGCTCCTTTCTTTGCTTTACCTTGAGAGCTCTTATCATCTAGGACTCTCCACACCCTGACTTTGTGTTGTTTATCTGTTTGCTGACTTTGAAGTAAATTAAAATATTTCACCCCAAAATTTATTTCTTTGACATACTTTGAAATGGCTGCTGCTTGGCCAGCAAACAGAAGTGGCCTTGCAAAGCTATTTTTTGTGGGGAAAATTTGCACCTGTAGAGAATCCTCATTTATATAGCCAACCTCCCCACCGCCCCTTGCCCCAGGTAGGTTTCTTACCTTTCAAGATCCAGGAGGGATTGAGAGTCTGACATCTTCGTGAGTCTGAGATCTTCAACAGTCTGAAAAGAAACATTTACCATCTATTCTCTCTCAGGGAGGCTTCATCTACATAGCAAGGCTCCTCTTACCAGCCAAGCTTCTTTTTTTCTCCCTGTCTTGCCACTAAACCTGATTTACCAACATAACTTGCTTTTGGCCATGTTCTGAGTCTGCATTCTTTACTGTGGCCTCAGGATGGTATATAACCTATCATATCTTATTTTTGGGTTGCATCTTCATCCTGAAGGCTCCTGTGTATACATGGTAAGTAAGTTTGTATGTCTTTTATCCTATGAACCAATCTGCCCCATGCCAGTGATTTTTCAGCAAACGTTTAGGGAGCCCATGGCTATGGCTCCCCCATGGTTTTGACTCTTTTATGCAGATGTTCCATAGGGAAGACTTTTTTTTTCCACTACTCTAGCAGTTAGTCTGGTTCATAGCAGGAACTTGATACATATCTGCGAAACCAATTAATAATGAATGATCATTAACCTACACTACAAATTCAATGAGACCTCAAGCAAAACCCAAGAGATTTTTTAAAAACTTGATCAAGTGATTCAAAATTCATACATACCTAAATTTAGAATATGTGTACTTTTAAAAACAAATTCTACTTGCAGGCAGTGATTCTAAAAATAACTGAATAAATGTTCAGGTATCTATAAAAGGATGATTATCATAGAATTACTCATAAAGCAGAAACTAGAAAATAATTTTAAGTACATTAATTGGAGCTAGGTTTATAATTTATGGTGTATTAAATTAAAAGATAATCTCTGATATAAACAATACAGTGATAAGTGAAAGATGTTATCAAACAATATGTAGTACAAAATTATTTAAAAGATATAATTGTATATTTACACATATGCAAAACATGTCTGTTAGACTATATATGAAGATATTAACAATATTTTTTATTGGTAAATCTAGAATGACCTTCACTTATTTTAAATCTCTTTCTTTTCTGTCATAACCATGAATTATTAATAAAAGGAAAAGAAAACTTTTTATTTTTTAAAAACAAAAAACAGTATCTAGTCCAATTTTTTCATTGGACGGATAAAAGAAATTGGTCTCAAGATACAAATTATCTGTGTGTGTCTGTGTGTTTAAGTATTGAAAATAGGGATAAACACATTTATCCAATATAATCCATCTGGAAAAGAAGAGCAGGCTTGGTTTTAGTGAAAAGTTGTGCGTTGTTTTATTTTTTTCCTGAACCAAATAGCTGTTTTTTATGAACTTCAAGCTTAGCTGTCATACTGCCTTTTGGCAAGACACTTGATTTGAAGGTAGATGTACTCTGCAAATAGAGTATATCTATCACAGACTACTAATGTAGCAAAATGAAATCACACAAGTAATCTCTTTAGATAGATTCCAGTGAATCTTCTTGCTCATTTCAATCCAAATCAAATCTATATTAAAATATTAATGCAAGGATTAAACTATGTAAGTACCAGGTCAGACTGGAGGAAGATTAAAGGGAATACAAGAATCAATCCTCAGGCATCAAGTTGTAGCTTCAGGATATGAGCTCATAAGATATAGTTATTTGCATAAACCAAAGTCACAAAGGAAAAAAATGTTCTCAAAAGATACCAACATTAGTAATTCCCTGGGTTTATTTGCCGCACATAAAATGACTATTTATTGTGAAACTCAAATGGCTTTTGTTTAGCATACTTGTTTGATTTCATTTCTTGATTATTTTGGGTATTCATATAAATATTGGATTAAAAGAATTTGAGTAGTTAAGTACTTAGGAAGTTCAATTTTGAAAAGCCCAAACTGTGAAAATATTATGTGAGATGATGTGAACAATTTAAAAAAACATCTGGGGCGACAGCTAGCCCATATAACGCCCTTGTACACAGTGGAGAAAGCTGCATCCTCTGGGTGGACACGACCACATGGTTTGGCAAGCCTCTTCTCTGGGCAAGCTGGGGAAAAAAACCCAAAAACAAACAAATAAAAAAACAGCATGGCTATGATGAAGGTGGAGGGAAAAGTGGCCTCTTTTAATCTTGGTCCTGAGGTTTTAAGAGGAATATGTCTGTGAGGGGTGAAACTGCCTTTGCAAAAATTAAAACGGTGAGAAAATTATGACTGTGAAAGAGATCTGACCTAATTGACTCCATCTTGCTTCTCACCTCCAAGCTGCCTTTGTTCCTTTCTGAGACTAGGCCAAACTAACTTTGGGAGAAATTTAGTTTATACTTTAACTTTGAAACAAATGTGATGAAAGTCCTTTCCTAAACTAAAATCCCTTTTTGCCTGGGGACCAGATTGCCTTTGTAAGACTAACAAATTGGCCACGAGATTAGAAATTATGCTTTAGGGGTCATACAGCCAAAGGTCACAAGATTCCTAACTTCTCCAATTGCTCCTAGGGATAACATCACTGTTGTAAATTGGTGCTCGAGACATTTTTTTCAGACATTGCCATTCTGATGCACCAGATGGCACCACCTAGACTGGTAATCTGGCTAAATCAGGAACAGAAGACAACAGAACAGGGATAGAAGACAACAGAAAGAACCTACCAACAGCCCCAATGATTTCATCCATGGCCCAACCAATCAACACTCCCCACTCCTGCCAAATGATCCTTAAAAAACCTCAGTCTCCACATTTTCTGGGAGACTGATTTGAGTAACAAAACCCCAGTTTCTCATTTAGCTGGCTCTGTGTGAAATGCATTCTTTCTCTGTTGCAGTTCCCCTGTCTAGATAAATAGGCTCTATCTGGGCAGTGGGCAAGGAGAATCCTTTGGGTAGCTACAGTGGCAGAGACAGAAATGGATTGCACAAAGTTTAACCAGGAATTCACATAACTGGCCTGTTGACAGTGTGAGTTCTATATCTATCCTCAACCTATCCCCCTTTCCAGTCTTGTTCCCTCTTTCTCCCCGACACTGACTATATTGTTTCTTTAATGATCTGTTTTGTTTTATTAGTTTCTCAACACAGTTTTAGAACTTTCTGTTCTCTTTCTAAATGCTGATTATTATATACTTATTTTCTGTTTCCATTTCAGTTAACTTCATCTGTTCATTCTTTAGGCTTCTTGTTTCTCTTTTCTTTCATTTTAATCTTTCTCCTTTTAAAATTCTTGTTTCTAAAATATTTGAAAAAAATTCCAGATAAAACATTTAGAACTTTCTAACTCATGCTTGATTTGATGGTTAAAGTTTAACTTTTTAATATTATTGGGTTTTTAAATTGTGTTAAAAATTTTACTCCATTAAATTTTCCCTTA